TCGCAGACGGCAGGTGGTCGCTTCACGCGAACTTGTGATGCGCCTCTCGGGCGCCCTCCGCTCGGACGCGTCAAGCGTAGAGGTAGCGGTTCTCTTTTCGCTGCCATACACCGCGGCACTCTTCTCATACTACTTCGCGTGCCGTCTACCGGTCTCTATACGTTAACCCAGACTAACGTTTAAACACTCCCACTGACGCGTTCGCATGTTTTTCTTTGAGAGCGCCTTCGTTGTTAATAAGAAAAGGAGAGGGGTCCCTTGTGCGCTTGTCGCAGACGCAGTCAAACACACACACACACACACACAAAACACACACCGCACACCGCGCACCGCGCCCACCGGCCACCCGCCCCGCCTAGGTCGGAAAGTCGAAAGAGATGAGGACTTGAGGAGATGTGGAACAGCCCGAGGAATGGAGCGAACAAACATGGGAGGTTAAAGTCGCGCTGCCGGGCGTTTCTCACTTTCCGGGACACTCCCGTTGATTATTCTTTTTTTCCTGTGTCGAACCTGACAGAGTTGTTTGGTATTGCTAAAAATCTCTCTCTCGAACCTGTGTGCTGTGAGAGAGAAGAGAAAGTCATGTGAGTGAGAGAGAAGCCTTGATGGCGCGGGGATTCTTTTTTCCGCGCGCGTGCCGGCGATTCTGTTTCTGTGACAGGCCTCTGCATTCGCCCATGCGGGCCTTCATCGCTTTCGCCTTTCCGCAGCCAAGGTCCAGCATTTCGACGCGTAAAACGTCATCGACGCGCCCTCGGTGGCGATCATGGTTTTGTCAGCATGTGTCCCAGAGATGGACAGGCGATACTTGTGTAACACATGCTTGACCTGCCCCACAAGCAACTGGTACCGCCCTGGTGGAATTTGCCTGATGCTGCAACGATAATCGCACATCGAGCGCGGTATGCCACTCACGAAGTTTGGAGTTTGAGAATACTGCGGGCAGTTTTCCGAGTCTCCAATCGTGAGCATGCGGCTGCAGGTGGTTTGGGCGTCATCGGAGGGCGTGCTGCACGGCATTGGTAGGCCCGTGATTACGCTGATCATGTAAAAGCCGGTGCAGTCGCTCGCAGGATAGGGTAGCAAGTCGCACCTCCCTCCTGTAGCAAGAGTCCGACCCGTGATTTCGCAACGGGGCCGCACAAACAGACTTTCCGATGTGGAGGTCTGCACCGGGACCTCCACATCCGGTCCTGGGCCAAAGACGCACGAACCATCGTCAGCGACGGCCAAGGGGTCGTAGTTGACAGCGAGCGCCACCGTGCACCCCGCTGGTGGCGGCAGCGGTGGCGGCGATGGCGGCGGGATCAGGCACTCTGCGCAGCCCCCGCAGCCGCCCCAGGCGCACCGCTGTTCCCACGCATCCGTTTTGGTGTAGCAGTAGCCTCTGCAAATGGCCACCGGCGAGAGGTTGTCGCCGCCGCCCTCAACGGCCTCGTCGCCGCCGCCCTCAGCGGCCTCGTCGCCGCCACGCTCAGCGGCCTCGTCGCCGCCGCCCTCAGCGGCCTCGTCGCCGCCGCCCGTCGATTCTGCACCACCGCAGCGGCCTCGTCAAAGTCTCCATTCGATTGGGTGATCAGATATGCTTGCCCGTCGATCAAAGTGCACGTGCAAATGGCAGAGTTCGTGTTGCAAGGCCACCATTGGTAGCCATCTGCGCATGTCTGACAATTACGGCTTGTTGCACCATTTGGTGGCAGGCCCGGTGTTGGCGTGCAGGTTCTCTGTGATGGGCCCTCCGTCGTGGGATATGCTTGCCCGTCGACGACTGCCGCACTGTTTTTTTGATGCTCGCGGAGTCCGGGGAGTCCGTATCAGAGAGCCGGCGGGGGGCAGGCGCAAGGGTGCAACGTGTCCCGAGGTACTGGCTCGACCTGCGTCCTATACACTCGTTTCCTATACACTCGTTTTGACAACAAGGGCTTGCCGCACAACTACACTTCTGCGACACAGATGCGGATCTCTCGGGTGAGGCAGCGCTGCATTTTACAGGATCTGGCGGCCAGATGCAAAGTCCCGGCCTATGCTGGTGTTCAATCCCGCTATCGACAAGTTGGCAGCTAGTTCATCCCTTAGGCCCGGTGGCCACCGATCCATCTTGCTGTTGAGCAGGCAGGACCGCAACATTGCTTGATCGGAGCCCAATCTCGGGTCGGAAGGATATTGCCCAGACAGCTTCAAGTAGTTTGTCCACACCAGGAGCAGGTAAAAGGCGAGTGCTCCCCCGTCTGCTGAGAGGCTTTGGTCAAGGAGTCCTTTGTATGCTTTGAACACGTCCTCTCTCTTGTTTCCGGTGGTCTCCTTGGCTTCTTGTTCACATGGATCCTTGTATTCTGAGTAGACCCCCGGAGAGTAGGCCTTGTATTTGCACAGGCAATACCACCCATATACCCCCCTTGGCTTCGGGCCATGGAAATGGGCGATGCGTATGTTTGTCTTCTTCTCCTTTTGCCAGCCCCAGTACGCCTTCCAGTTCCACTCATCTGG